TCATTGATGTTTGCCTTACATAATTCCACTTCAGGGCCTTAGCTGGATTTCCATCTGGCCATCACTCTCTCATGGCCGATTCCTTCCATTTTAAACCTTTGCTCCATCCCTGTGACATCTGCTGTTTTGTAATACCCCACACCCATCCCGAGCTCCACTTTCAGTCCGTGGACAAGCCCCCTGTCATCTGCTGAGCTCCTCTGCCACATAAGCCTCTCTGCATTCACCTTCACCAGAGGCTGCTTCAGTTCTGGCTGGACAGCTGCACACACATTGCCTCAAGTAGCTCCTCACTCATCTGTGTATGAGTATCATCAGAAACAACTATTAAACACCCAAACTGCTTTTAATTGACCAGCAGTAACTCAGTGTTTCGCTCAGTACTTATAAAAGGTCACAGTTCTGTGTTTTCCAGTTCTGACTGATAGTACCCACCACCTGTAACCCCCAGAAGTGGCAATATTGCTCAGCTGCTTTTCACATCTCTCTTTAGCACATACTATTAAGAGACCATTTACCTAATCAATTACACATTGAAAAGTATCTCTAGTGTCTAAAGGTACTCTAAAAGCTGGATGCAATGGAGGAACTACTTCCTGAAACTTGTGGATGTGCTAAATCAATGACTGGTCATTGATTAAAGGCTGGAGCACTCACCTTGAGCTTTAACACTTCAGCTGATCGGCATGTGCACATGAGTACGTATTGGTGCAAAGGATTGTCTTCTGCTTCAACTGACAAACTGCTGGATAGCTTTTACATGAAAAAAAAAAATCAAAAAGAATAAAATAAAACATAATAAAATGAATAAAATCTGTATTCCTCCAGACCCAGGGGAACAAACAAGCCAGACCTTCCAGACCCAAGCCCTGCCAGTAACAGACACAGCACTAAGGGATACACAGCATGGCTGGGTGCTTAGGTTACCAACTTCTGAACTCAGGAAAGAAAGGAGGAAAAGGCAAACTTCTGGATTATTTAACAAAGTAATTTCAGCAACGATCACTCTTGGTAACTTAATGGAACAGAGGAGCAAAGTCCTCTGCCCAGAGACAAGAAGTGACTGTGTATGGCTCAGCTCACGGCCACATAACACACTCTGACCTCAGTCTGCTGGAGCATCCTCCATATGGGGACAGCAGGGGCAACCTGGATGGCTGGACTCACCCTTGACTACCAACAAAATGCTGAAACAGTCCTGACCTGGTGCTGTGCGAAAGGAAACACTGCCAGGAAGCATTGACGGGATCAGTTCTGAAAGCAAAGCGAGGTCCTGGCCTCATGTATTGCCCTGTTTTAACCACACAGGCAAACAGCTAAGAAATGTAACTATTTTCTGCTTAAAAGCCGCAAATTCCTTGGAGAAAAGGAAAACTCAATCTGACAAAAAGAAACACTCAGGCAATGGTGATAATCTGGCACATACTGGATAACAATCATTGCCCAAAAGCTGCCAGAGAAAATGGAAATTAAAAGTCACAAGGCAGATGCAGAATAATATCTGTTGTGAAAATACATTATTCAGCCAGCACTGGTGGCGGAGACTTTTGGTGCACTGCAATCTGCACACCCTGGTGACCACATATGCAGCAAGATGTGCTGCTTGGCATAGCCAAAGAGAGAGCAGCAGCCTTGCTTGTGAGGCATTTGGGAACCAGTGCCCTTACAGGTCAGAACTACCTGTTATGCCACTTTCACTGCATCGCAGCCTTCTGGAACTTGAGTAACACAGACCAACCCTGCCTTGGGGCATGCAAGAAATCATATGGGGACAAGTTGCAGACAAATGGGCCACTAGTCCTTGCCACATGCATCACCAATGGCACAGCATATGCTCCCGGTTACACTGTGGGTCACATTTTGGATGGAGATCTGCAGTCCTCCATCTGCCTTAGAAGAGACAGATGCACACGCTTTACAGCCAATCATCAACTATTGCCCAATTCCACCTTTACTACACAAGGGCTTTAGCAGACCTGCATTAACTTCATACTGCTTGGACATCTGTTCTCATGTGTTCAGAGGAGAAACAAGAGAAATATCTTACTGCTTGTTCCAAGGTTTTCTTCTCTTCACCTAAACAAGGCTCATGAGTGATACAGAAGGAATGAGGGAAGTATTTTTTTCTTGGAGCCCAACAATCAACCGACAAGACAACAAGGAAGCCTCTAGGGGACTTCTGACCATTCAGGTCATTGATATATTATTATTTTAACAGTCATAAAATCACTTTTGTGATATTTCTCTCCTTGTTTCTTGCCATTCCCCGTTTGTCCATCCAGATACATCTACTCTCATGTATCAGGCTGCACAATCTGTAGTGCAGAGACCATGCCTTCACTGTATTTATGCAGTGCTCATGCAAGAAGACTCTTGTCTAGCAATGAAGGAGGCTTAGGGATATCTGGTGTCCAGTAGCACAAGCAGCTGACAGTTCTGAGTTCTTCCTCAAGCAAAATTTCATCTGTTTTATGCAACAGCCACTCCAAATACAACTGCATTTTGCAAAGCACTTTTCTGACAGATTTCAGCCAGGCTAAATGATGGCTCTTCCTCTTGTCAGAGGAAGTACCCTTGCTTTTTGCTTTGCATTTGGATCAGAAAAGCATCAAAGCACAAGGCTCTGCCTAATGACTTCAAACCAGAGGCCTCTGGATCCACTCTCAAGAGCACGTTCCCTCTCTGGGTACCTGCCTTGTCCCACCACAGCTTCCACCCTCTTCTTGGTGGATGGCCATTCTCAGCCAAAGCACAGCCATGGCCAGCCACTTGGGGATCATGCCAAAGCCATAACTGGGGGCACTGGGCAGAGCTGCCCACACAGCTGGCACAGTCTGGCACATCACTGTACCCGTGTGCTACACAAGTTTTGCTGCCACTGCCATGTAGCTCACTGGTAACAGAAGATTCACAACAGATAATGGTTTAAATCAAATAATGTGATCCGAGCCCTGCTCTACTAACACGATTATCTCTTTACCTTTTCATTGCTTGCAATAATCAGGTAGCGGCAAGTTAATGAATTTCACAGCACGCGTCACATATCGCCTTGTTACATAGCTGTTTCTTCTGCATCTGCAACAAAATGAAGGGTAAGACTGTGAAATTACTGACAGAAGGCAAGTAACAGTGTCTACTCACCACGGGAGAAAAGATGCCTCCAAGAGACTCATTCCATCATTCCCCTCTCTTTGGCAAATTACAAGAAATTAGCCCTTTTTATTTCTGGAAGAAATACACCACAGAGCAGTTGTGCCACCAGTGCACTGTCACCACACTGCACCCATGGGCAGCTGATTCTGCACTGGAAACCAGAGAGCAGGAGAGCAGAAGCCTGGGGATGGGGGCTTGGTGGTATGCCAGAGAAGGCAGCTCCATACCTTTCACAATTCTTTCCCTTCTCAGTGCACCTGCTGCAGAGAAGGCCAAAGCTAGGACATTTTATATACATTTTTTTGATCACCCTGTTAGCTTAAGCGGAAACTTAAGTCTTCCCAGAACAATAAAATTCTATAGCATACAGAGAGAAACGGGCAAGCACCAGAACCCCAGGGATCACTCCCAAGGGAAAACTAAATTCAGTTAGGGATGAAAAGAGCCAGAAGGTAACATGAGGGAAGGTAACAGGACCTCACAGCCAGCAAGAGGATGGGAGAAGAAGCTGTGCTATCAGCAAGTACCAGTGCTCCAAATGCAGGGAGCGCCATGCAGCCCCGTCTCTGCCAGGAAAGGCTCATGGAGCAGAAGAATGAGCACACGGGCTGCCTCTCAATCTCCTGGCAGGAAGCTTCTCTACTCCCCTTGTGCCTGGACACAAAGCTTTGGGCAGTAAGAAGGGAGAGGCACGGTGGCACCCGTTCAGGGACGAGCCAAGCTACGGCACACCCTGCCCTGGTTCAGTGCTGGGAACCGACGGTGATCTGGCTACAAAAACCACAGGAAAGATCATGTTTGACCCCGTGCAGCTTTTCTCTTAGAAATCACTTTAGACACTCTTCTTGTGACTAGTGCTCAGTGAATCCTACCAGGACAGAATGGGACGTGCTGCAGCAGCAACTCTGACCATGGCGTGGCTGTCCCTGCTACCTGCAAGGACACAGCTCGGCCACAGAGAGAAAATCTTTTGTGCCAGGAATGTTTACCAGTGCCAGGTGCTGGTAAGCACTGCTCAGGGTGCTGCTGGCACCTGGGATGGCTCAAAGCTCCATGGTTTGTGGCAACAGCCAAAAAGCACGTGCCACCTCCTGAGGACCTCCACCTGTAGTACCCCGGGCAATTCAAAACCCACTATTCCCTTGTGCCTTTGTCTACCTGGAGTCATTCAGGGAAATGAAAATACACTAACTGAATTAAGAAGAGAAATCTGTTAAGATACATTATTCTTAGGCCTCTGATGGAGAATTGAAGCACCATCAATTGCCTTCCTTCCTGCTCCTTTAATTTGCAGAATAAGTGTCCATACAGACTTCTAATGAGGTTTAGTTCATCTTCCTGAAAGGTAGCTTAGTTTAACTTTCTTCTATTCCTCCTCTAGACAACTTATGAATTACAGTATTAAAGCACCCTGACTCAAAGGATTCTTGCACTGTGGGAACACTTCCTGCTCAGAGTTTTTCAACAGTTAAAATCTCTGTGCTATCTTTTATGCCAGATTTAGTCTACTAGCCCAAATGGGTCCACAAAAGACATCTGTATGGATGAATGCAATTAGTTAAAATCTTCTCCTTCTACTTTCATTCCACTGCTGGAAATAAAACATAAAAAAAAAACAACTCTGTACCTGTTCCGTTTTCAGACTGAAGCAACAGCATATTCCTGGCTGCTAATGCAGCAGGGACAACAGCACTGAAGGGAAATGTTTGGATAATCACGTCTTTATTTAAAGAGAACCAAATTTCTCCATCTAAGCCATCACTGCCCTCCATCAGAACAGCCAGCATATCCACGACATCTAATAAGTGAAGGAAAAAATGTAAGCAGAGGATCCAGACTAACTGGGAAAACAACAGAGGTAGAATGCAACATTCCAGGAACACAAGGTATCATTTAGCCCCAAAAAAAAACCCCAAAACAAAACAAAACCGAAGATAACACCAAACAAACAAACAAAAAAAACCACCTTAAATTAGTAACAAGAAAATAATTATTCTTACCTCAATAAACCCATAATGCCTCAAACCATTCCAGGGAGGGCGGCAGGAGGGGCGGGCAGAGCCAGGGCCCCGCTCCGCCGCCCCGGCGGCATTTTCCGGCACGCGGCCGCTCCCGGCGTCTGGAGAGGGGCGCGGGGCCGGGAAACGCGGCGCAGCCCTGCTCCGATGCCGCTCGGCCGCGGCCCGGGAGCGCTGCGACCGCGCCTCCGCCGCCCGCCGGCACCGGCCCCGCCCTCCCCGCCACCGCCCGCCTCGCCGCCGCCGCCCTGCTCGCCGCCTTCAGCCCTCCCTTCACTCACAGACACCGCCCCGCTCGCCGCTCGCTCCCGCCCCTCGCCCTTCCCGCCCCGTCTCGGTGGTTTTGCCGGGCGCTGGCTGGGGGGGCTGCAGTACCGCACTGTGCCCACAAGGCGGCAGCACTTATCATGCGAGTCCGCGACTCGGCATTCGCAAGAAGCCGGGCCGTGGGGACCTTAACGGAGAGAGGCGTTTTTGCCCATGCCTGTCGGCTCCCGCCAAAAACCCGCACGCTCGCGGTGCTGCTGACCCCACAGCTCGTGTGCACGGCACCGGAGCCGCCGCGGAAAATCCCGTCGGGGGGCGCCGGCCATGCAGGCAATTCAGGCAGTGTAAAAAACAGACACGGGTCCTCGAATTTCAATGTCCTCGTTTTCGCGCCCTCTCGAGAAGGTCAAGGGAGTCCGAGCCAAGCCACTCCCAAGATGGCGGCTGCAGGCGGCGGGCTGCAGTACCGCTCTCTGCCCACAAGGCGGCAGCACTGCGCCGTCAGCAGCGAATGCCTCGAAATATCCCGCGCGGAAAAGAACGGCAACAAAAAATCTGCCTCTGACCCAATAAGAACCGAAAGAAAAAACCTTTTCTCTTAAACTGCATTTCAATGTATTTTATTTTTATATTTTTCATACCTATATTCACATTCGGATTTATAATTTATATTGATGTAAAATTGTATTTTTATAATTTCTTACATTTATTCCTATTCTATTTTATTACATTTTATATTTTTATACATACCTTAATACATTGCTTACATATTTCTATAGTTAGATTTCTATTTCTAAAAGGTTTATGTTGCTTAAAATAAACCCCTGCCTCTATCCAAGTAAAAATCTTTTTTAAAAACCCTTTCTTTTATACTGCGTTTAAATTTATCTCTATTTTTTGTATTTATATTCAAATGCACATTTTAAATGTAGATTGATGTATGGTGTTATTTATAGTCTATCTCTTCCTAATACTTATTTTTATTTCTATTTTACATTTTTATATATACACCTGTATACATTGATTATATATTTCCATATTTAGAACGACATCCAAATAAAATGTATATTCATATTTTTTCAATTAAAACCCTGCCTCTAACCAAATAAAAACAAAAAAAGCCCTTTCTTTAAACGATACTTGAATATTTATATATTTTTTCATCATTATAGTCACATTTGAATTTCTACTTTTTATTGATGTACTTATAAATTATACATATATAATAAGTTAGCGAGATAGATAAATTATTTTTTAAATTCTATTTCGTACACACTGCTAATACTTATATTTACTTACCTTTGAATTTTTATATAGATCTTAATGTATTCAGGATATATTTCTATACATAGATTTCTAATTTTATTTTATTTATATAATTTTTATAATAAAATCCCTACCTACTACCAAATAGAAAATATCAATCCCCTTTATTTTAAAGTATATTTTAAAATGTCTATATTTCTATTTTTGATTTTTACAAGTACTTATCTATTCTATCACAACATATTGAGGTACTATATTTCGATATATAATATTTATGACATGTAATGTGTTATAATAAGACATATACAGTAAAATATGCATTATGTACTCTATTGATTCCTATTGTTTTGTAATATTCATATATCCACATGCATTAATTATACATTTATATATGGATATTTATATTTATAATCTATACTTATATGCATATAAACATTTAAATACTCTATATCAAACAATATAATAGCTAATAGTAATGGATAACATTATTTATGTTACATGTTTTATTTATATGTTTTCCATTAATATTTAAAATTGAAGTTTTATATTCCCATTTTCATGTTTATGCATTTGTTTTGTTTCATTAGAGTTACAGTTAAAACTTTGCAGTTCTAATCTAATTCCTAAATATAAAATGCCAAAACAAACAGCATCAAATTCCCACCAATACCATCCAAAAAATTCAGGAAGGCTCCACCAGCCAACCAACTACCAGCAAAAAAACCCGCACTACACTCCTTTCACTAGCAGCTCTTATCACAAAAACGAAACAAACATTTTAAAAAAAAACAAAAAAAACCCACAAAAAAAAAAAAAAAAACCAAAAAAAAAAAAAAAAAAAAAAAAAAAAAAGCCAACTAACTTACCATACTCCAAACCATACAAGAGACCCCCAGTGTTTGTAAAAAAAATAATAACCAAAACTCTACCACTACACTAACTCTTAAAGAGAACCCAATGCTCTATAAAACTAACTAAAAAACCCCACCAAATAATTACAGATATAAAAAAATTGGAACCACGAAGAAACAAAAAATTCACCACCCAAATAAAATAAATACCTACAGAGATCCACCATGGAAATACCCATGTTCCCAAAAATAAAACTAATAAAAAACAACAACCAAATACATCAAACCACAAAAAGAAAATTATATTAACAAGAACAAAATAATTATTCCTAATTCAATAAACAAAAATTGCCTCAAACCATCAAAACACAAATACCACCTAGAAATAAACACGTCGCCAAAAGAGAAATATAACCACAAACAATATCTCCCAAGTTCTCTGCAACAATGAAACATACACGGCAATCAAATAAGCCAAATGAATGAAACCCCTATAATATAATAAACAAGAATGCATTCATCAATATTAAAAAAAACCTCACCGATTAACTCCAGGGCACTCCCTCAAGCCCACCAAAACAAACACTATGCACTCGCGCTAATAAAAGCCTCCACAACCGAATTAAAAAATGACCCTCTACTTCATGCTACTGTTATAAATTGTGACACGACAATTTGAAGTGTCTTAATTCAATAAAGCAATTTTATTTAAAATACCAAGCGAGTAAGGCAGGCAAAGCACAGCGCTGGGCGGCCGGGGAGTCTCCTGCTCCACCAACGGCGCACAAAAATGTTCTGTCACAACCTTCCTTTTATCCCCCCCCTTCTCCTTGCAGGCGTGACTCTTCAGATGTAGTCTGAGTCTGGTCGTTGTGATAGCTTCTAAGTCTCTTCTTTTGAGATACAGCAAGCAGACCAGATACACACACCCAGGACTCTAATCTCAACCTCCTTATCACCTTGTAAGCAAATAAGCATTTCAAAGACACACCAGTACATTCTTATGCAAACCAAGGTAAGCGAGCATATCACAGTGAACAAATGATCTTCCACTTATCTCACTACGACCCATAAAAACCAGTGTAAACCTTCAGAAACACAACCTTAAAAAACATAAGAACCGATCAAAAAGAAATCCAACAACAACACTCAACCCAAAAAAAAACTTGTCACGAGCACCCGAAGCAAGAACCGTAACAACCAAGAAGCGCCCGGGGCCCTTCTCCTACAGCGAC